TTTTTGTTTGACTTTTACTTTCACCATGTTCAACTCAATTACATGATTTATATAACTCTTAAATTCTAAATTTAGAATAAAAAGTATTGAATATTTTGAAGATCCAAGGTAAGCTATTACGTTTTCCACACTTGTGATACTTTTCTGTTTGAATTGCATTTTTCTTATTCCTGTGACCAAAGTGTATAGATACGTATGGAATATGGATACTAATATGAGAGTATTGGTCACATCTTGATTTCAAAGTTCTGTGTTTGTCAGGGTGTGTCACTATTCTCTTTGATTAATGCTTAAAAATGTAAAGTTTGCAAATTTTAAACTTATAACCTTATACAAATTAAATTAACTCTTTTAGTTTACATATTGGCACTTGGAGTAAGACTTCATTTGAAATAGGAATTGTGCTAGTACAAATCTGGAAATTGTTGATTCATGAGGTTACTGGTTTGTACAAATTCATTTTTTAGTCTTGGTGGAATTACACATAGAATTCATATGTTGAAACTTCTAATTGACAACTTTCTTCAGTTCCTACAGTAAAATACTGGGGATCAAAATGATATCCAGCTTTACTTGCAGTCATGTAGAACCAAGATAAATGCATACATATAATGGTGCCAGAGAAATTCTGATGATGGAGATGAGGGAGAAATTTAGTAGACACTGTTTTCAGATCTACTATCAAAACACAATGTGCTGGGATGTGAGTGACATCTGTAATAGGAGACACAGACAAAACGGAGAAGCTAATAATCTGAAAATGTTTACTCTTTGAATCTTGATAATATTTTTTCAGATTTATTTCCCAGTGGTGTTCCTTAGAAGGATATAAAGCTAATTTCATTCTCTTAACATACCAGCAGATGGGTTGGATATATTAGGCTGCAATTAAACAGTTGCTCCATATAATTCACAAATGCCTGATCATAAAGAATATATTTGATATGGGGTCTGTTTCTGCCAGTCCATGTATTGAATACTTGTCCCTTATATTTTCCAGTGCATGTTCCTAGAAGGAACTCTTGTGTCATTATCATTGAGATGTCTGGGTCAAAAGGTACAAAAGGCATACACAAAAATTATACCAAAATAGTAAAACAGGACACGGTGTCCCATCGGAGTCCTACATGGTTCCCTTCTGAGTCACTAGCAGACTGCTAGGTCCTTGCAGTCTGATACTCCTCAGTAGTAGGCTTGCATCTGATAAAGATCTGCAGATTCTGTTCAGTGACACATGCTCACTTAGAAGTCACTCAGCCAGAGTGCATAGCTCACCATTGGAGGAACAAGTGAGTCACTGAGGCTCATTTCA